CAGTGTGCATGGCTCCTCCTAGCCATGTGCGCCTCGCCGCGTGCTGACCACCTGTTGCGCACACTCCCGCCCGACCTCTCCGCCGGGCTATGCGCGTGGCCACGACGATGCCGTCTGGCGATGCTTGCTCGCGCTGCTGGGGCTGCGGCACGTCGGCTCGCGATGCTGCCGGCCCGTTTGGGCGGCCTGGGCCTTCAGTGCGCCGATCGTGCCGCCTCTGCTGCTTACTGGGCCGCCTGGGCCGACGCGCTGCCCGTCTTGCGCGCACCGCCCCGATGCAGCAGCAAGGTGCCTCGCAGAATTCGCTGCAGGTCCAGCTGCTGCTGCCGCGTGCTTGCGTGCTGCCGACGAGGCTGGCCGCGTGCTCGAAGGTGCCGGATGGCAGGGCCGTCCATCTTGGCACGATGTACACAACGGCCTGCGCCCCGCACAATGTGACCTTCCTGAACCTGGCGAGAGGTGCGCGCCTGCTCTACCCACTTTCGCGAGACCGAGCTGCTGCCTACCCCGCTGCCCCCTGCCCAGGCCATGCTGCGTTCGCAGTCCGGGCCGCACGCGGCCGCGTGGCTCAGTGCCATACCGAGCGAGGCTGGCTCCGCTCTGCCGCCGGACCGTATGCTCATCGCACTGCGGCGGCGGCTGCGGTTGCTCTTGCCGGTCGCTCCACACAGATGTGGCGCACACGGGCACGGTTGTGGCGTCGCTGTAGACGCCTACGGCGATCACCACGCCGCGTGCCCTCGTACCGGCTTGCTCGCCCGCCGAGCCAAGCCCCTCGAGCATGCTTGGGTGCGCATCGCGCGCGAAGCTGTTGGACCCGAGGGCCAGGTAGTGCCCCAACAGTGGCTGGCGCGCACGTCCGCCCCTGACGTTGACCCAGCTGATCGCCGCCGCCTCGACTTTGTGGTCTACTTGGCGAGGCGTTGTGTTGCGACGTCACACTCGTGTCCCCTGTGATGCGTGAAGGACGGGCCCATCCTTCTGCTGCCTCGCGGGACGGCGCTGCCATCGTTGTCGCAGAGAGGCGCAAACGTGTGGCCTACCCTGAGCTGCTGCGACCCGGGCCGCAACGTCTTTGTGTCCTTGCCTGCGAAGCTGGGGGACGCTGGAGCGTTGAATCCCTACGCCTGGTCACCCAACTCGTGCGACTCCGAGCCCAGCGCGCCCCTGCCGCCCTGCGCCCTGCAGCCAGGCAGAGCTGGCTGCGCCGCGGTGGGGCTTCTTGAGCGTGGCTTTGCAAAGTACGCTTGCTGCCACGCTGCTCGGAGCGCCGTACATCGCTGGCGCCCTGCCTGGCGCGCAGCACCCGCCACTCGAGGACGTGCTGCACGACGCAGTCCCTCCCAGCCCCAGCCGCCTCGGCCCGTGCAGGTTGCACGGGGACCTGGACTTCCGAGTTAGGCGGACGTAAAAAGGTGCATGAAAAAAAAAGTCTGGTGGCGTTTTCGCCGCGCGGCCCCATCGACAGCTTGACCAGGTGACCAGGGTGCATGTCACCACCCGGCTAAGGGCATCACCCGCCCGCATGACACGGCTGACGATGGTGGCATCAACCGCCTGCTGCGCGCCATGCCAGAAGGACAGCCCATTTGCCATGTGAGCAGCGGCGTGTGCGGCGTCGGTTGCCCGATGGTCCGGGCTGCTCGCTGTCGCTGCCCAGCGCGCCGTCGCTGCATCCTTGCTGGAACTCCCGCTCGCAGAGGAGTGCAACATTGCCGGAGAGGCGCCCGAGCTGCACGAGGTCCTCGCGGACGTGCGCTGGCAGCTTCCGCCGGTAGGCACCCGCCAGGGGCTTCGCTAGTAACCTGGCACGCGCGCCTTTGTAGGACCACGTAGGCACTGACCGCTTCGACTGTGGGCTGCGGGAAAAAGGTGCGGGGGAGAAAAACAACAACTAGGTAACCAATCCACGCATCGAAAATGTGGCTGAGAGCCAGCTTTGGCCGCGATTGAGCTCTGGTCCAATGTCCCGAGCATCATCAATCGGACTACCAAAGTACACCGAGGAGGACTTGCAAGTTCAAGACAGTGACCATCAAGCTTTAGACGGGTAAAAATACGGCGAATGGGCCTGGCTCCGAGGTTCTTTTTGTCACGGACGCCTTTTTGCTCCTGCCCACTTCCTGTCGGGTCAGAAGGGCCCACGGGAGCCCAAGGCCTGCACGCTACTACAACGCCTAGCGTGGCAGCGTCAGGCGGCTCGGCCCTGTGGCCTCAGCGAGGTGGAGTACGCAGTCGAGCGGAGCGCCCTCGACGCTAGTGGCATGCGGTGGCTGGGGCCACGGCTGGCCGAGGGCAGTGCTGGCAACCGCCTGCTGCACTGCGACAGACAGCATGCCCCACCAGCGACGCGTCCAGCCTGAAGCCGCTGCGGCCCGTAGAGCCGGCGGTTCTCTGTAAGACCGTAGTCGAACCAGGTCTCGTACCAAACAGTGCGCATCGCTGTTGAAGCGCCCTCCGACCTCGCTGCCAAGTAGCCCTGCGCCCTGGAGCTCCGGGTAGGTGGCTGCTTTGCGTCGCTCTGCTGTTCGCAGGGCGGCGCCGTCGGCATCGACCGCACATGGCTGTGGTTGTCCCGTGCGCGTTGGTGGCTATACCAGTGTCGCATCGCAGCACAGCGTGGAGCCCTTGGGCGTTGCTCCGTAAATGACCAAACCTAAGCGGCGTCGGCCTTCCGTGCATACTCCGGGTCCTGTGGTGTGGACAAGCTGTTGGTGCGGCACGATCTGCCCGTCGGCTCCGACAGCTTCGCTCGCGACGCGGACCACTTGGCGCGTCGAGCGCGCAAGCCGGTTCGCGGGCAAGCGAGCGCGTGGTCACCGAGTCGGTCGACTTGTGCCCCACAGCCGTGTGTCGGTCCTACGGCTTGGTGATGGGCCCGAGCGTAAGCTAGGATCTCTTGCGGTGGCACCGTGCGAAGGGCGTGGTTCGCATGGGGGGAAGCACACAGCAGCAGAAGCAGCCAGGAACACTGCAGGTCCGGGAACTTCGGCAATTGGCAGATGTAGGTGGCGGGACGGCGCCGTAAAAAAGACATACAAAGGACAGCAGCTTGGGGAACGCGGCCCTGGACATGCGGTCGTATGCACTGCGGCCGTCAAGCGATACCACTACCGCGTCTGTCGACGAAACACGTCCCCAATAGCGATGCATCGGACGCCTCCATCTGCTTTTTGCAAAGCCGTCAGTCGCGTGCGGGCAAGACCTTCAACGACGTTGTTGCGCGCGCGCTGCGACACCCAGCGTCCATGACCAGGTCTACCGCGTCGAGGTCCTGCAGCGAAAGTTTTACGTGCTTTGCACGCATTCCAAAAAGAAGAGGCCTGCTGCGCAGCCCCTGCGAGTTTTGCGCCAGGCCGCTGCCACAACCTTCGCAGTCAGGCGAACTCGCTGCGCCGGTTCCGTGCTGCAGCGCAGCGGTTCCGGTGGTCGACGCGCAGGGTCCGTCAGAGCCCGGTACTTCCTCTTAGCCAGGCAGCTTGTAATTGTAGGTCATCGAGTTGAGGAATGCGCTGCAAGGCGCAGGTGTGCTCGATGCGCGTGTTCCGGCGACGACGTCATCGTGGCCGAAACGGGATCACTTGTCGGTGGGGAAGGACAGTCACGAACCCAAACAAGCTCAACTGCGCCACCTCCAAGGTCGGCGACGACTGGTGGCTCCTCGCCTGTGGCATTCCGAATGCGAGTTTTGACGTCATGGAAGCAGCCATGCGCGCGGTCCCACGTGGCAGTGCTGGCGTCGTACAGGATGCCGTTCTGGCAGCGGGAAGATGTGGATGTCATTTACAAGCTGTTTACAAACGCGAACACGGCCACGCACGACGGAGGGGTGCGGCGCATAGCCACAGGCAGCGTTCCTCGTTGCGAGATCTCTGGCCAAGGAACCGCCGCCGGGCGCTTTGTGGTTGTGCCCAGGCTGGTGTCGCTAGATGGCCGCAGCGCATACGAGTCCATGTCTCCCGTACCTTCCTGAGCAGAAGCTGCTTGCAGCTATGTCCAGCTACTGCTGGTGGAACGGCGCGGGGGAGTGTCGCGCCGTGCCGCCAAGCGAAGGCTGCAAACGGGGTGTTGCCTTTGCATTGTCGACCAACATGAAGCTCTCGATCAAGCCTCGTCCGAGCTACACCGATCGTGCCTCGCCTTCTTCGACTCCCCATATATCGTAACAGTCCCAAAGCGTGCACCGGCAGCGCTCGGACAGCACGGCAAGGGCCGTCGAGCCACACAGCTTCATATCCAACTTCGGCAACACAACGGCCTTCGCGCTGCAATCGGACACACCACTTGCGTGCGTGCGTGGCCGGCAAAACGCATGTCCGAACTGCCGGAACTGCCATCCAATGTTGCGACACGACGTTGGTGTCCCCACTCACACGTTCGGGGCACCCCAGAATCAATGTGCAGGGGCCGTGGACGTGCTGCAGCTGGCCGAGTGCAGCAGCACACTCATACCCGGAGCTCACGTGTGGCGGATGCTCGTGTCGTCGTCGGTTCCGAGGTGGGCAGCGGTGGAACGGCCAAGTCCGCCGCTTCGTGCGGGGACTTGGTGCGTCTCAGGGCTTAGCGATGCTTAGCGCACTCCGCCTGCCGTCCGCACGGCATCGTCCGCGGCTTGGGCGAGGCGTTGGTGGATCATGCTCGTGGTTGCGGTGCAGCAGGCACCAGCAGGTGGTCACCAGCCTGGCGGCAACCCGCTGCTAGCCCTTGCGGCCATAGCGAAGCACCGCATGCGCGGCAAACTAAGGTCAGAGTGTTGTTGTTCCGGCGTGAGAAGGTTTTGCTTTGCCAGCTTGTTCGCGTGGCTGTCGGGGTCGGGTGTGCATCAAGACTCAGTGACAAGACGCAACCATGTCTTAACATGTTTGTTTTGGCATGTTGTGGTGAGATGTCGGTTTTTTGAGCACAACGAGGCACGAGATTTAAACCATTTTAAACATGGTTGACCGGGTACACATTGTATTTCCCGTGTTGACATGTGTGTGCCATGGCAAACATGGCACATGGCAATGAATATTTTACTTCTCGCCGGCGGCCAGACCAACCCTGGCGATTTCGTTTATTTCCAGGCACGGGTTCGCAGCACAGATGTGAGAAGTTGACGTTTCGCGGCAGTGCTCAAAATCGTGGGAGGCCGATGGCGTATATTCTGTGGCCAAATGGGCACCCTGCTTCGGCACCGGTTTGTGTTCCGTCTGCGTTCATTTAAAAGAGAGGATCATTGGCACTGGCATGAATGAACCAAGACGCAAATCAACTGTGCCGCATAAGGCCACCCGCTACCCGAGAGGAATGTTGCACGTCACGGGAGTACGTTGATTCCTCACGTTGCTTCCCGGGCGTGCACAGCCAGCTCGAGTGTTGTGGACAAGGCAGGGCATTCACATTCACGGCATGACGATTCACAGGTGTAGATACACACACACACACTTGTCACCAGCATCTCGTATATCTCGTGTCGTGCTTTTGTCAAACGTCACCGGCCGTATATCCTGTTTGGCCACTGGAGGTTATGTGATGCTCTTTGCGGACAGCCCGCGGGAGCTTTTGAAAGCGGAAGGCCGCTCAGCCAGGCTGTGTTAATGCGCACCGCAGTGGGGTCCGTGCCATGCGCTAGGTGATCATCCGGCATTTTCTGCGCAGCAGGTATCGTGGGAGTTTTGGATAGGTGCGAGCACTCAAACTTTGGAGTTCAACCTGGGTGGAATGCCCCTTGTGTTCAGAGACTTCAAGATCTCGCGGTGCCTGGTTTTCGACAGTCTTCCTTTCTTTTCTTGCTAGCTAGTCCAATCGATTGGTTTTTCAGTGCTGCCTGCCCTGACACATGGCAGGTTTGGTATGGAGAGCCAGCTGAAAGAATTGCAAAAGGATGCATACGGATTCAGCACGCTTCCACTGCACCGCGGTGACGTGGTTTTAGATGTTGGGGCCAATGTGGGTGTCGTTTCCGTTTGGCTTGCCAAGTTATATCCTAGCATTCGCATTATCGCCATAGAGCTCGATCCAACGAATTTCCGTTTCATGCTATGGAATTTGCACCGCAACAATGCACCTCGGCGGCACCTGGTACAGTCTTCGTTTTGGGATATTCCTGTTAACAGAGGTGTGGCGACATCTAGCTTTGAGATTTCGCAAGGTCACTGAGCAGGTGTGGCCTGTGAATGTGGGAGCCTGCGAATCTGGCAATGCAACCTATGAGCTGTTTCCACCCATACAAGGAGGAGTTGTGAGGAGGGTGGTGCGATCAAACGTGCCTTGCATGTCGTTACAGAGGATTTTCCAAACATTCGATATTCACGATTTGGCGCTGATGAAGCTTGACTGCGAAGGTTGCGAGTTTTCCTTCATAACATCGCAGACAGCGGAGGGACCACTGCGGCTCACCCGCACGATTGTAGGCGAGTTTCATGATCCAACACTTGTCCGATTTGATGCGCTATCCATGGAGCGTGCTCAGCGTGCCTACCGGATCATGTGTGCACCTGGCAACACCGTGCTTGGATGTCAAACGCCCGCTTGGCCATACCAGTGATCGGGTTCCCACGCGCACACACGCCAAGCTGATGTAACGTGGTCGTGGCGAATGATGACGTGAATGATGACGCAGACGAATGCCGTGGAGACTGGTTCAGGCATGGCAAGTCCCATGCTGCCGACAGTTGGCGTCGTCGCCGAGAAGAGTGTCGGGCACCGTGCGGGATCAAATCCGGAGCCTCCGGGTGAGGGGCGACATTTCCACTGATGAGGACAATGCTGCTGACTGGCTACTATTTGTGCAGCACGTTATTCTCGGCCCACATGCCGCGGTTGTTTTTGAGGGTTCTTTCAATCCGCAGGCTCCAATGAGTTGGACGTAACGGCACTCAGAGCATGAAGCGAAGCGTGAACTCGCATCACCAGCGGGCATAAAAATTGCTGCCATTGTCAGCCGTCCGTCGGATTTTGAGTTTGTTGCACTTACCTTTCATTGTGGACAGGCTTGCAGCCGAACGGGATGTAGTGTAGACGTGTTGTTCCTCCCCCGGGTGCCATGCAGAATGGTGATTCACGGAACGTCCAGTGCCACTTCGGTTGGGAGCTTGGACTGGTCCTCCCTTCTCGCTCGCTCACTCGCTCTTCTCTGCTCGGCCCAGCTCGGCACCGCGCTTCACTGCGCTGCTCTCCCTCTCTCTCTTTCTCTCTCGTTCTCTCTCCTTCTCTCTCCCGCTCACTCGCTCGCTCTCTCTCTCTCTCTCTCTCTCTCTCTCTCTCTCTCTCTTGCTTTGTCTTTTGCTGAGCAAGTCGGGTGGGAGTCTCTGCGTGTCAAAGCTTGAAATCTGCGGCATGCAGAAATATGCGGCATGCGGCTTTCTTGTGCAAGGCAAGATGGCCTGCCATCGCGCGGGGCTGCTGGCCATGCTGATCTTGGCAGGTACGGGGCTGCATGCGGGATCGCCTGCTCACCTCGAAGATCCGAAGAGTAGTATTGACATTCGGTAAAGATGCGGACCGTGGAAGGGTTCTACAGCTTCACGGAAGACATGCGAACGGAAATTGCATGGATGAGCAGATCCTATCATAGCGCAGCACAGCAGAGCAGAGCTTCGAGCCGTGGGAATCAGCATGTTTACGTGCCATTCTCCGTGGAGCGGTCGAGCTTGCAGGTCTTAGAGGATAGAACCGTGCGAGAGAGCTGACAGCAACAGGCTTTGGCCTGCAGGGCTGCAAGAACCTGAAGGAGATTGAGCCTCCGGAGACAGTGCTGTCCTTGCCGCCTCCCGTGACGCCAATCCCGCTCGCGGTGCTCCCGGTAGTCACGCCGGCTCCGGTGAGCTTGCAGCCACTCCCGCCATTGCCGCCAATACAGCCGGCCCAAGTCGCTCCAGAGCAGCCTGCTGCGGCTCTGTCAGCGGCAGTGCTTTCCTCAGTCCGAAGTCGGATTCTTTGACTCTCTGTGAGCCTGACAGGGTTGCTTTGAGGTTGCGCAACCCCGGCTGGTCGATTCTTGGCTTGAATGAAGCGTCTTCCATTGCCTGTTATGCTGTTTCATAGCAGACATGAAGCTGCACTGCCCCAGGTGTGGAACAACTGCTCTACACTGCCAATTTGGATCGCTTCGTCCGGAAATGTTCCGCCTCCGGCAACTCGAAATGTCAGGCCTCCTGACACCTGCTTACCATGCCTGCAACGTTTCTTCAGCAGATGTATTCAGAAGCTTGACATATGTGAGGATCCTTCCGGGACAAAGGCTCCTCGGCTCTTGGATGTCACATGTCATGTTGCCACATGCGTTCTGTCTAGGTCAAATCGTCGTTCTGTCTAATCGTCCAGATCCACCACATCATGTGTAGCCAATGCCAAGCACCTTGATCCAAGTTATTCTTTCTACATCCCCAATGCTGGGTTGAGCGTCTTGGCTGCGCCGCAAAAGCAATTCTTGCACTCACGAAGCCGTGTGCTCCGATGCACCTGGTGGCACGGGTTTGTCTACCAAGGTTCTACTCGCTTCTGGCCGAAAGCATGGTGTGATGACCTCGGCCAGAAATGTACTTTAGGCGCGGGTGTTCTTGCAGCCGATTCGGGAAACCATGCGGGTTTGTCAGGAACCATGCGTTAGGAACATGAGCGAGCAAAGTCGCGGACAATGAGAAGAATCCAGCAGCAGCAGTCGTAGCAGGAGGGGGAGGAGGAGTAGTAGCAGCCGCAGCAGCAGCAGCACGACTTCTACGTCGCAGTCGGGGGTCTAGGACTAGGGGCACCGTAATTATGATGCAATGCATCGTCAGGTGCGGTGTTATCAGTTGTGAGTTGTCCAAGTTTATCAATACAACAGCTGGGCGGGCTTCTGGTGTAATGTTTGTTTTCAGGGTTTGGGGCTAAGTCTTTGGACACTGTTCACCCATAGCAATCTCAAGCTCCGTTTCCTTTCCTGACTCTGGCTATGTGCCCGCCTCACGCCGTCTTGGTTCCGACTCTTGGCGTCCGGCTTTTCCACCAGCGAGGTTAGAGGTACGGACAATTGTGTTCCTGGGAGAGTTCTTCCAGCTGATGGCCATGATGCTTACACTGCCTCTACTGGTTATGATGTGTTAGCTTACTTGCTATGGCTATGTAGATTGCCCAGCTGCAGGGTCACCACAATCTGGCCATGTGGTTGCAAGTTACGGCAAGTTCATCGCACGGATGTTTGTTTCCAGTATGTGTGCAGTAGTTCTAAGTAGGAGGTGCGGACTTGTCGACGGGTGTTGACGTCTGGGCTTACATGTCTTTCAGCCTGTTTGGACTGCTTCCTTGAGTCACTCGACAGCATCTTCGGACACCATGCTCCCGGAGGCTCCAGTGGAGGTGATGGCCAAGACTGCCCAGCTGGCGGCTGTGGCCAAGCAGCACGAGCCATTCATTTGATCACAGGGATAATGGCAAGATCGCATTGTGTTGGCAAAGCGCTTGGTCCCAAGCTCGGGGTATTGGAAGCCGAGGTGCTCCTCCAATAGATTCCAAGTTCGAGGCAGGCCCTTAGACGTGCGACTCCTTGTAATGCCCGGGTTCTGACTCCTGGAACAGGCAAGCTTTGGCGCCGTCGGGGTGGATTGCGCCAAAGATAACAAGGCCTTGCCAGCACCAAGTGTCGATACACAAGACACACAAGCTCAAAGCCAATACTAGAAGTGATCAAGGGATGCCGAGTTTAAAGACTGGAACTCAAGAAGGGTATGGTTCGGGTGTGCAGATTGTCTCGTTGTTCTTAGTGTCATCCGTTCATGTCTCGAGTCACAAGTCATACTTTATCGCATAGTCTTGCTGCTGCTGCCGTCGTGGCCTTATTTGCGGTGACTGTAGTCCAATGTCTCTTACTGGTTCCGAGCCCCCTACTCTGTGACAGGTTGCGTGTACATATACTATCTGGTTGTACACGTGTATCTTTGCAGGAGTAGGCGCTTTACCGACATGTGCAGCGATGTAGAGACACATCTGAACGTAATAATACGCTTACAAAATCAGCTTCTGCGATTTGAATTTTGCAGACATTGTTTCTTCGTGCTACATTGTTTCTTGGATGGGTTCTCCTTTAATCTGCCTTTCGCCTATCCGCAAAGTCTCAAGTTTCCTGAGGGCCTTGTACACGTATGTTGTTGCTTCCTCCTCCATTTTCACACTCGCAGAGTCCTGTGAATTCTTCTTGCTGTTGTTGTTGTTCTTGGTAGGTGTTGCGTCTGCCGCCGCGCGGGGTGGTGCAATTCCTCTGCTGGCATGCGCTGAAACTCGAGTTTTGGCACTTTCGTCACCTGACGTTTAACTTTGCTTTTGCTTTCGCATCGGTTTTTGCGGTGTTTTCTACCAAAAAGTGACCGCGCCGGCGGGCTCCAGTGTGCAAACACATGTTCGGCTCTGCATTTCGCATCGTTTTTTTCGGTGTTTTCCTGTGTGTCGCATTTCGCATCGGTTTTTGCAGTGTTTTTTGCAGAATTTCGACTTTCTGCACATGCCGGCTTCGACTTGCATTTGTCTTTCAGCGGTGTGCGGGGCTTGGGGGGGATTGGGGGGGGTGATGACGTCCATGCGAACACGGCTTGTGTCCTCTGTTTCTCTTGTTGTTTCCTATGTGTCGCGTTTCGCATTGGTTTTTACGGTGCTTTTGCCGATTCTCGCGTGCCAGCTTAAACTTGCAATCTGTCTTTCAGCTCTGTGCGGGGGTGGGGGGGGATGGGGGGGGGTGATGACGTCCATGCGAATGCAGCGTGTGTCTTCTGTTTCTTTGGTTGCGTTACTTCTCAAACGCGACCAGTTGCTCTGCCAACCCGTGCTTGCCGCTTCTTGTTGCTTCACTTTGGAAACGTCCACCATGCAAAAACCTCGAGTTTTTGAAGCTTTCCAGACAAAAACTTCCAAAATGAGCCTGAAAATCAACATAACTCAAACACGAAAAACACGTTTTTTTTTGCGATACTTCCGCAAAAACCAGACCAAAATCACAAGACAAAGAACTCCAGAAATTTTACACTCCGATACATCGTCTTGTTGATGAAAACCACGCAAAACTCGGGGTTTTCTAGCTTTTAAGACCAAAAAACCTCCCAAACATAAACGACACACCCCGCGCGGCGGCAGACGCAACGCCTTCCTTGTTCTTTGCTTGACAATGATCTGCTGGCCGGTTTTCAGGGTGAGCTTGGAGAAGGGGCTCAAGCCTCGCCTCCCATGTACAAAGTCTTGTGAGCAATCGCGATTCGCCAGGGGTGCGACTGGTGGGACACAAGCGCTGTTGATGGATATTCGTAGCTCGTCCGTACTGTGGGTGTGCCTGCAGGTTTTTTTGAGATACCGTTCGGATCTATCGAAGTGCTGCCCAGCAAAGGCTGCCTTTCAAGCTGGAAGTCGACAGTCAGTGTCCGCAGGCAGTCCTGCATCTCCGATCTCGGGTTGTTACACCTCTCATGCAAGATGCCCGGCACTTCTAAGGCCAAGAAGATTGACTGCTTGGGTCTATCTTTTGCAGAATGTCCAGCGGTTGAATGGCTGGGAAAAAGTGTCGGGAACCAGGACCGACGACCTTTGGACTTCTGACAGCGACGAAAGGGGATCAAAAAGGGACTAGTGGGACATGGCCCTGCACAGGACCTTCGCGTCGTGGACCACGTGTCTTCTAAGGCCGAGCTCCAAGTTACGACTTTGACTCGGGAGCTTTCTGGAAGAACCTGTCAGGTTGTAGGATGCTATTCGCCCTGTGGCAAGCTTACATACTCGCCTGCTCGCCGCAAGAAGTTTCCTGTGGAGTCGTCAATGTTTGAAGTGGATATCGACTGAATGCGATTCGTGTGGTCAGCCAGATGTCAGCGTGAACTGTCGGCTTGTTCGCGAACAGCGCTTGTCGGAAAAACCAAGGAACTGGGGCAACAAAGTTGGTCAGCATGCACCCGACAGCATCTCGGTTTAGTCGGCGTTGAGGCGGCACTGAGGCAGTTGCAGTTGCTCCGTGCATATCCGTGTTCTGAGGTGACGTTGCGAAAATGTATTGCTGTCCGACACCACCTGTGAGCCCGCAACAGTGCAGGAGTCACACATGCAAGATCTCTTGTACCGAACCTCTCCATCCAATCGTTTGCTGTGCAGGGCAGGTCCCGTGGAGCAGAGTGCCTTTGTCAATTTGATCCACCAGAAGTGCCGACATCTCAGTGCATGGAACCCAGCTCTTTCTCTCGGTGTTGCGCCCATCTGGCTTCAGGCAAGAATGTTTATGGCTACGCATATGATGACGCCGCAGCTTGGCACATTGTGGAAACTTTTCAGAATGCGCTCATTGAAAGGCTCTTGCACTCCAGTCCTCGGCTTTTCGCGAAAGCGTGCGAAGGGTTTCTCCATGGAGGTGGTTGCTACAGGACGGATTGAGGATGGATTGCTGTTTGGTGGATAGCGTGATATGACTGCCATTTAACAAGCATTATTCTACCGATCTCTGTCATATGCTTGACGAAATGCGTGCAGATGCGCCCTGTTTTTTTGCTTCACTGCTACAAGTACAGCGGAGGTAATTTTAACGCTACGCCGCCCGCCTCGGCTGTGTAGCGGCAGGGCGAGGGGGCAGTCGATGTTTTTTTATGCTAGGGCGGCCTGTCAAACCCCAACCTTTACACGGTTGTTGATACGAAGTGCGAGGAGAATGGGTAGGGGAGGGGGGGGGGGGGGGGGGGGGGGGGGGGGGGGGGGGGGGGGGGGGGGGGGGGGGTGATTCCGTAAACCTCTAAAGGGGTAGCTCTAACAGGTACCTACAGCAATGGCTGCATGCTCATACATATACATTCCGCTGCCCATTGGCTCACAGTGGTTTTTACCATATTGAGACAAGACAAGCTCTCCTTGCGTAGCAAGACAAAACAACTACTGTCCGTGTGCAGGGCGCTGCCCTTTGATCCTTAGGGAATAAACTGGTCATACACCTCCTAACAAGGAGCATTTCCTTGTGGGTGTATCGGCACAGTTTTCTGGTAGCGGAGCCCGGAAAGGGCCGCCCGCCTCCTAAAGTCCGCTACAGCGGTCGGCCTCGCCGAACGCTTAACCAAGCGGATAAGAGGCAGCACAATGTCGAGCTCGCATAGCGAAGCCGACGACAGTTCCCAATCCTCCGGGGGATATGAGAACGAAGAGACCTCCCAAGGTCCAGCCACTTATGTCGCACAGTCATATGCAACATCTGACCGCATGCTTGCATCATTAGGCATAACGCCCAAGATCGCGCCTGCCTATGATGGCACCACCTCGTGGTTTGAGTATGAACAGTTGATTGACGACTGGTGCGACATAACAACGCTGGATGACACCAAAAGAGGTCCGTCTCTCAAGACGAGGCTCTCCGGATTGGCCGCAGTACAAAAGGAATCACTGAACCGAGAAAGGCTTGCAGCCCCAGATGGAGTAGATTACTTCAAGAAGAAGATGCGTCCATTTTTCGTGAAAGGAGAACAGTACGTTTTCCTGTGGCGTTTCCTCGGCCTATTCAAGGCATGGAAGGGCAACCAAGACTTTGTGACTTGGATTGCTAAGTTTGAGATCGTGCTACAGCGCGTGAAAAACTCATGGATGGATCTCTTACCAGAGATAGCTCTGGAGGATGCCCATCCAGATTTCATGCAAGCTGTGCAGGCAGATCAAACCTTCTTGCGCCTACAGGATGCAACCGAGAGAGACACATACGCCGCACGTTTCTTCGAAACATGGAACAAGGAACGCCTTGATAATCATCGAAGAGCGTTTCCTCTAAATGATAATCTCCTAGCTCTCCTCTTCCTAGTGCAGTCCGACCTAAATGAGATGCAACGTGAGAGGTTGGTAACAGCATTGACCAACCAAGGTCACCGAATTGAGACCTACACGTACCCTGTGGTACGGCAGACCATGTTCGATCAGTTCTCAACGACCAGAACTGGTCTGCAGGATCCCAACATTCGGCACTCTTCTCACAAGAAGGACCGCCATGGAAGGAGAGACCAACGCCGCAAACGCGGAGGTCGAAACTTCCTCATCCTCGATCAGGGTGAATACGATGGAGTCGATGGATTCTGGCTCCAAGACGAAGACACCCTTGAGGAAGGCTTTCTTGCCGCCGAGGATGAAGAAGCTGTCTTCTGGACAGTTGATGACCATGAGGCCTTCGTTGCAAGGAGATTCAAAAAGGGAAGAAGACCAAGAATGCGTCCCGGATCACCGGGAAGAGCAAAGGGTGGCAAGCGAAAAGGACGTGGCCGTTTTAGGTCATACCGCGGAAAAGGGAGAGCCAACCAGGCAGAACATGATCCAACTGATTCCAGCTATTTCGGTAAAGGTAAAGGAAAGGAAAAAGGAAAAGGTGGAAAAGGCAAAGGAAAAGGAAAGGACAAAGGAGATAAAGGAAGCTCCTTCAAAGGCGCAAAGGCAAAAGGCAAAGGTAAGGATACAGCTAAGTCTGCCTCCTTACAAGGAGACCAAACTGGATCTCCACAGGCCTATGAAAGTTCCACCGCACCGAGCTGGGATTCATGGTATGAGGACAGTTATTATACTGACTCCAGTTGGAATTATGCCGCTTATGACGATCAAACGTCTTATACATACTATGCATCACAAGCCTCACGAAGAAAGACACGGAGAAAGAAGAGAAGAAATCAAGCAGGATCATCAGGTAGAGGCACAGATCCGAGCGCGCACCAAGAACCCGTGTACAACTCATCAGTGAGTTACATGCCCCAGGTCTTTGAACCATCCGAGGGGCAAGGTGTGGAGACTGCAACAGCAGTGTTTCCGTTGCAGCACACCGTCCTATCTGCTCTCACAGAGCGGATCAATCTTGATAAGAGCCCTACCTTTGTCATACTTGACTCAGGTTGTACTAGGGCTATGGGTTCCCGCTATGCGGTGAATAGGCTTATCAAGGCCGTGAAGCAACGTGCCCCAGGCATGATTGATTTCACTTTCTCACCTTCGAACACGAAGTTCTCTTTCGCAGATAGTGAAACAGCTCTTATCAAGGAGCGTGTAACTCTATGGTTCAACACAACTCCAAGAAGAGATACAACCATAGAAGTTCTGGATCAGGGGAGAGTTCCCATTTTGTTCTCCATCGAACAGATGAGGAATCTAAGAATGACCCTCGAGTGTAGTCCCACAGCTGACCTAGCAACGTGTGAAGCTTTCGGTTTGTATAAAACCCCTCTTCCGATTAGTACCAATAACCATTTGGTATTGGACCTTCTAGGCTTCACTTCCACTAGGAAGTATCTCCCTAAATCAGGTACGTCGTTCAGTGCGACAGAGACTGCTCTAGGAGCTAGGAAGCCAAAGGAAGAAGGAAGATCTTATACTAGGATCCCGGAAGGTCGCTGTCCAGCCTGCGCAGGACAGAAAAGGGCTCATACGTACCTCAAAGGTTGCGACAAGGCACCTGAGGGAGCAGCTGATCCACCACCGAAGGGCATTCCAGGTAAGAAGAAGCCTCTTCCATCTGATCCGGCAGAATCATCTGCCAAGAAACCCGATCCACCAGAACTATCTGGTGATGCTCCTGAGCCTTCCGAACCGCCGGAACCATCATCAGGCTCTAGAGATAAACCGGCAGAATCATCTGCACCGCACGAACCTCCAGAAGAAGAAAGACTTGAGGTTCCACCTGCGAAGACAAAGACTCCAAAGGGTCTTAAAAACCTTCTGAAGAAAACCCGCAAATATGCGGTCAAACCTCCTGTTGAAGAGAAGTCTACAGTCCCAGGAGCTGATGACGGGACGGAGGTAAGACCACTTGAGTCAAGAGAATACCCGGCTCCTGGTACAGACTCACCTACAGGTGAAGAGACTGTCGCAGAACCTTCGCCATCTCTTCCCATTGCTCTTCGCAGGATTCATGAGAAGCTTAAGGACCCTGTAGAACTCTATAAGCTTCACCTTAAGCACCGTCATATGAGTACGGATCAGTTCAAGCGACGCACGAAAGCCTTACAGATCCCAAAGGAGATATATGAGCTATATGACCAACTGGTCAAAAAGTGTTCAGCCTGTCAGGAACACGTGAGAGCTCCTTCAAGAGCGAAGATTTCCGGTTTAAGATCAGAGACTTTCGGTGATCTCACCTTCGTAGATCACGGTGAGCTTCCAATTCCCGGCAAGAATAGTCGCTTAATATTTCTTATTCTCTATGACGGAGCAACAAACCTGTTGACTTCCGAAGTAGTCCAGGATAAAGAAGAGCATACTACAATGTCGATTATGAATGACTACTTTGAGAAATTTCAGATCAACCCAAAGGTTGTAGTTGGAGATCAAGCATTCATGACTCCAAAAATGGAGGCTTATTACAATCGGCAGAATATCAAGCCTGTAGCAACAGGACCTGGAACACCATGGCCCAACAGGGCCGAAGCTGCTGTAAGATTGCTGAAGCATCAGATTAAGATCATACTTCAGATCCTGAAGGATGGTGACCCGCAGTATAACGGAATCACCATGAAGTATGGCAACCTCGTTCGACAAGCATGTTTGGCAAGAAACTCTTCGATTACCTATGGAGGAGTTACTCCTTTAGAAATGGCCTTTGGTAGGCGTCCTCGAGATGTTATAACACCAGAGAACGCTGATCCCAATCAGTTGACAGGTAATCCAACTGATACGGAAGTCACTGCGAGAGCCATTAAGGAGCTTGCCAACAGGGCTTACCAAGAGGCACGCCAATCTGATGATCTGCGCAGAGATCTTGCGGCCAGACTGTCAATGACCGAAGGACCTTTCTCTTTGGGAGATAAGGTTTTCTACTGGTCAGAGGATAAGTCTAAGATTGGATCAACTGGGTCCAAACATGGATCTTGGCTAAAAGGAAAGGTGATCTCCGAACTCGGAGGATCCATGGTAGGTGTGGATCTTGGAACACGCATCGTCCGCGTTAATATCTCAAAACTGAGGAAAAATTATGACATAACATCTGATGTGGAGATTCCTCTCGCGCCTGATGAGGAAACTCTGACGTCAGAAGGTTCTGACCACGCAAGTTGCATGGTCACCTTTGATGCTTCCCTGCAGTCGACAGACCTAACGGTTCCGCATCAAGAGTGTCACTGGCAGGTCACCAGCACTGGGAAGATTGACTTCCTAGAACTCTACGGTGGATCTCCCCGTATGAGTCACAAGGCTGCCCTGTCAGGTCTGCGAGTAGGTCAGCCAGTCGACTTGCGTAGTGGTCTAGATCTTGAGCAACCGCAAGGTCGCTCCAATCTTCTTAGGATCATCAAGGAACAAGAACCTACTATTATTGTTATGTCACCCGATCACTCTCAGTGGTCTAGCTGGTACTCACAGTGGAAGAAAGGCTCTGCCAAGAGACTTTCTGTTTTAAAATTCTGTGAATCGGTCGCAGACCACCAAATGAAGCT